CCCCCCCCTCGCCGAACTGCGCCCCTCTTATCCATCCATATATACCCACTTCCCAATTTTTGAGGCGGTTCACTGAGCCCACAACGAATTCGTTTTCTTGATTAGTTGCTGCTATCACTTCGCTGTCGTGCTTTAAATACGATCCAACTATGCTGCAGATGTTGAAGAAAAGTAGCGTATGATGGTTTTGCGGACTTCTTAGGGAAAAGTTCAAGTTTCAAACGTCGTCACATGAAATCTTAGGACCTTCCATCCTCGGTGGGCACCAACAAAACTTACTGCATAGTGAAGTTCAGGATCTTGGATCTCGTTTGAGGGCTCAAGTAACACAAGTGCGCTGTTCACTGCGTCACCTGTGAAGAGATAGGTAACGTGTAACTTACGTCAAATAACACTTCGATGTAGTGTCATTGACAACGATGCAATGCAGGCCTCCTTGGCATCAACAAGCTATATGGAATGTCTACTTCTCAACATTTAAGGCAGCGTTCAGAATTCGCGATGGCAGCGCTTGGATCGCGCGTTCGACGCGATCGATGCAGTAGAAAGCATGCGCATCGATCGCGCCGAACGCGCGGCCGAAGCGCTGCCGTCGCGAAGTCTGAACGCTGCCTAACGGACTGCTACACCTGCTACCATAATTAATAAGTAAACACAGAAACTCACTCCCAGCTGGGTGCAGAGTGGAATAGCACATACTAACAACACCAGAAGGCATTTTATGCCAGCGTAAAGCACATGAGAAAGGTAAAAAACCGGTGTTGAAAGACCCATCACAGATAGGAAATCCTGAAATGCGAATCGAAACTTCACTTGAGAGCACTTATACGAATGGCTTCGAAACAACCTTTACTGTACTCCTTTCACTGGCTATTTCTCTTGCAGTATGAATAACCAGTACAAAGACGCAAAGCCCCCAGAAATACGATGAGAAACCAAGGAAAGCCGCCACACTATTCAAATTGTAGGTAGCCTCTGGCATTCGCCTGAGTCGTAGTTCTGGTAAGAGGGTCACATTAGACGAGGAAGCCTAAAAACGCTTAATCAAACCGTGATGCATTTTGAAGATAGCCTTTTCTCTGTAACAGCCAAATTAACCTCGATAAAGAAACTATCAACAGCGTACTGGACTGACAGAAAAGCAGAAGACCAATACGGTGGTTTTCCAGGAATCCTAAATGTAAAACTGTGCTTGAAATCAACGGCAATTTTTCTCATCTCACTTGTTATAGTCGTTATTGGCTCCGAATGGATCATCCCATTCTTGGTCGAGACGCCAGGGATCGTCAGTGAACCCAGTGGGGATGAGTATAATGTAGTCAAGCTTTCCAGCTCTGGTGTCAAACTGCTTGAACAGTACTCCGCCTGCGTACCTTAACGGAGCCAATCACCATCGTCACATATAAACAGGTATTTGAGTGTTTCACAAAATTACGAAACTATTAGCTAATCCTAAAACTAACTTGTTAATGGCACATCCATATTGGGTGCTATTTGGAGCGTCAGGCTCGAAGTTGGTCGAGCATATAATCTTCGCTTTTCATCTTCACCACATCTACTGCAATAACTGAGCTGCTGAATCGCTTAGATAGCTTCTTCATCAACGCTTCCACAGAGTCCTCGTTTTCTCGAGCACTGTAATAATGCAGTCTGTTTGGAAGACGTTCCGATAATGCCATAATTAATTGAACGGCATACAGGCTCGCTTTGTACCATACACCATCGAAACATAGAGAAACTCACTAATATGCTATGAAAACCCGATCTCGATTACACCACCGCGTTCGTATAGAAGCTACAAAACCAACACTGCGACTGATATCATCTGCGCCCCCTTCAAGGGGTACAGCATCGAACGACCTTCCCGGCGACAACTGCACAGTACCGCCCTAAAAAAGACTTTGCAACGCTTTTACATAGTTCACATGGAGCAGATAGGTTGAAAATCGTAGCCCATTTTTACGGTGATACAAGTAGGAGTATAACCTATGTAATTCACCTTAACTCACTACATTGTAGTCTTTTTTGCAGAGTGTCCCAAAACTCAGGCCGCTTTCATACCTCACCTAATGACTTGAATTAATGAATTGACCAAAAACATTGGATACGTATTCGAAGAAATGCAAGCAAGAATTGCAGAACTGAATGTATAACGAATGGCGAACAAATCGATACGTATCTAATCCATTTCGTCAATTCTGCATTTCTTCACTGTCGTAAGGTAAAGCAGTTAAGCCTCTAGTCCGCTGCGGACGAAAGGGCGTGTCAGGTGGATGAGTCTGGCTCGATGCCAAACCCGTTCTTCACCAGATGTTGAGGCGAGCAAGTGACAAGACCGTATCACATCGTTTGCATCACTCATTTTCTACCAGCTGTTGTGGTATACCCGTTTCAACTAGTAGAGAATGGGCTTGGCTCCGTGGCACATTTATTCTGACTGACACACCCATACGCAGACACGCCTAGTGTATAAGAACGCGGCACTAGGTAAGATTTAAATAGAATAGAGCACACAAAATTTCCCTTATCTGTACTTTTCTATTGAAACAGATGTGTTATAGAGGCAAGTGGCACGCTCACCACGCGAGCGGTCGGGGGTCAAATCCCGGGTCGACTCCCCCAGGCCAACCAAGCCTTCTACCCTCCGGGGACGGTAAATTGGTACCAGATTCGTCTGGGAGGATAAAACACTGACTTGTACATCGGCTGACCTTTCGCAAGTCACTGTTTAGGCCATACCGTATTCAATAGGCCCCTACCTTTCTGACTTTAAGTGGGCGCGCCACATCCCACGAAAAGACCGCTTGGAACATTTTGAGCACCTTATACAGGGGATGGGAGGAGGGGCAAAAAAAAAAGACATTTCAACCATTTCAACCGAGTCACATATCAAAGGTTTTCGCAGCCCAGAGGATACGAGTACCAGGGCGGAAGATACCCGTCCTCGATAAGCAGGAGCTGGCTCTCGCCCATCACCTTCATGTACACCAAAATATGAAGTCATCTCCAGTCGCAGCCTGACTGGAGAAGACCTTTGGAATTCATGTCACCTCCAAACAGCTGCGAAACTTCTAGTATGGAGTCACCCATGGATAGCTACCTGGAGACCAGTACTCTGGAAGACCTCCAACATCCAGCAGCAACGTCGCTACGGTCTAGGACATCATCTTCACCTCAGTCGCCAAGGCGCCAGTTGATGGTGGGGACCGGACGTACCTGGAATGGAGAGACCGATATTTTCTTCGTGGGCCCCGGACTAAAGGTGAGCGCTGGCGGTTACATCGAGCAACTCGAGAAGAATATCCTCTCCACATGTCGTCGCCCGTACCTTCTTGGAAACTTTGTACTGCTACAGCATTGGGTGCCACCACATGGAATCGAAGGGCGTTGGAGAAACTCTCGCCTACTTGGAATGGAAGGGGGCTGAATACCTAAAGAAGGTGGAATATCCAAGTAGGTCACCTGACCTGAATCCCCTCAATTACCCGGTTCGGGCGGAGTTCAATAGGGTGGTCTACAGTGGCGGAGAAATCAACGATCTCGCTGAACTCAGGCACCCACTCACGGTCGCGTGGCAGAATCTCTCGATGGCGCTCCTCCAGAAGGCTGTGGCGGAGTATCATGATAGTATTTAATATGCTCTTTAATATGGTGGTAGAAATAAAAATTTAATAAAGTGTAACTTATAGCGCCTCGAAAGTCAAGGAAGAAAAAGGTCTTTTTTTGCCCCCCCCCCTGTATATCTACCTAAAGCGCAGCAACACACCAAGCTTAGACCAGCGAAAGCCGATAACGAAAACAGAAAAAGCATCAAAGTTACTAAGCGTCGATAAAAGTTGACTCACCCTGACTATGAGTATTACTATTGGTAATGTGAGCAAAATTGGTAGAACCAATTCGAATATCGTCCACGCTTTACTACGTCGAGTGAGGATAAGATTTTTGCGAGTCAACAGCCATAACTGTCGCAAGCAGTCACACATGCTGCTCAATGGCGGTCGCAGCACTGCTGCACCAGACTCTCTGAAATGTCCAGTTTAGAGCGAACGCACACGTAGATAAATTCGAAAACAGATGCGAATAAAAAAAAACGAGTAGCCCAAGAGAAATTCGAAAACAGCACGAAGGAAAATCGGAATTGAAACATCAAAAAAGGAAGAGAGAAGAAAAAGGAAGAAGATTATACGACATCATAGTTGCGCAGTTAAAACGGAATTCTGCTCATCGTTATCAGAACTATGAACTGGACGAGACACATAAAATACTGTGGAGGATCATAGGCGACAACGCACAGCTTATTACTTGTGATGCAATGGTGACCTGGACTGGTTTTTCAGATGTTGGCGCTGAAGAGCCAGGGAGTTGTCGAGACAACGGATACGTCTTCGATAACAGACTAAACGCATCATCTGTGCTTTGGAGTGTATTCTTTTCCCAATATTTTGTTTCTAATTAGCTCGGCAGTAATGAATCAGCATCGGTTACAGCACAGCCACCAAATTCGTAGCCTCAGGTAATTAGGTCTTAAAGGCACGCCTCGGGTACAAATGTTGTGCGGCTCAGTTATGCAGCTCAAAGCAAGATGGCGAATAATATAAAAATGAAGAAAGAATGGGGAAAAATCATTCGAAATGCTTTATGTGGAACCCCTTACCAGAACTTGCTACTAGTACACAAAGCAAAGAAAGGGCATGGTCGGAAGGGTTCTCACCTCCTGGTGAAGCCGAGAGTAAATCATAGTAAGGTCCGGATAGGTGAAGCACTTCCTCTAAATGCTAAACCCATTTACTGGATAAGAACTTGCTTTACCCATCCAGAGATCCTTCTTCTGAAGCTCGGACGGAGCTCCT